TTGAGCACTAAAATGATATATTGGCTCATTAATTATACTTGATTCGTTAAGCCTCTCTACCATTTTTCTTGTTTTAAGTAAATATTTTTCTTGAAATTTATTATAAATATGATACCAGAATAGTTTCAATATCTATACTATAATCAATATCTATAATAATAATACTTTTTAAATTTTATAATTTAGATGCTAGCATAGAAAATTACAGAATATAATGAACTATTAATTAAATTATATTTTTAAATAGAAAGAATTCATTTATATCAATATAAGATACTAAATAAATGGATTCCTATACTATTCTGTATTAACGGGCAGCACATCCATTGAATTAATAAAAATTAATGATATAATAAAACTCTATATTCATTAAATATAAATAGCATTATTAACTTGATTTCTATAAAAACCTTTAGAAACATTTTTATATTAATAAATTTGCATTACAAAACCTGTGTCTAATATATTATCATAAGATTGTTATGAGTCTCAAGAAATAAAAAATTTGTAAGCATTTAAATGACTAATGAATGCAATAAATAAGTTAAATTTACTTGATATCTGTTTGAGAGTCGATGGGTTCGGATTCAGATTTGTCGATGTCTTCCAGGAATAGATTGGATTCGGGCTCTGATTCCAATCAGCTTAGAAGTGGCCCAACTCTGGTGCTTACGGTGTCTCACTTGAGTGTAGTTCCCGTTATTGGGAGCACTTCTTCCCGGATAAGTGCTAAAAGACACGGCACTCGTGTTCTTCATTATACAGTCCACTAATTATATGAATGATTACGTGAAGTAATCACCGAAAGTCATATAAAGTGACAATAGATTGCGTTCATAAGGCATGAGTGACACAAACAGGTCTTAAACGATGCAATTCTCACATCAATTCATGAATTAGACTCACGTTTGACTCGAAAGCCACAAAAGAGTGGATAAAAGTATACATTAGCTCCGCATAAGTCTTTTGAAAGTCTTTCTATTAATAGTGGAGTCACTTATTTCTCTCTTATTTAGTTGAAGTATATTTTGCATGGAGTCCCACATCTTCCTTAACCTCTCGTACAGCACTTCAAAGAGATTTTTCATTATGAAAGCTATTTATAACACATACTCTCATGTCTTTAGACATTTTAGCCTTTATTTGTTAACAAAACATGTATTTTGTATTCATTTGATTAGGCAGAGACATATAATTTATAGTTTCAATGACAGCTAAATTTGAGTATTTATAGCATTTTAAATGACCATTTAATGCAATGATTTCATTTGAAAATTCTTTTTATTAGAACTTAAAAACAATTACAATCAATAAAAATAATAAAATAATTGTGAGATATGTTACACTACTTTATTCGTGAGTTTTATCTTTTGAAGACATTCTTTACAAATAATGTATGTATTTGTTGTCATCAATTAGAGGTATATTTGTATAGAAAATTGCAAACCAATGCAATTGTTTGAACTAATAATTACAGAGTATATTATGTAAGTTATTCACAAAACAGATGACAGAATATTATATTTATATTTTATGGTCTGCTTTGTATGCAAACAATATTAATCTATATATAATTCTTAAGCACAAGAATGTGTTCCACTTAAACAACAAGATTTGCAATGTTTTTAGTGTTTAAAACTAAATAACTTATTATTACAAATTACTGACTAGCTTATAGTCTATTAGGTATTAATTATTAAGTATGTGAGTATGTACTTTTTTAATTCACGCTAAGTGGTTTAATTCCACCATTTGGACAATATTTTCATGATTTAGAGTACTCTAGCGTATTATAAAAGTCAAACTAACTTTTTAAAGTAATTTATATGTCAATTACAGTTAAAAGTTTTCAACAGACTTTTCTATAGTAATTAAAATTCCCATTGAATTTAATTTATATTATGTACTGAGTTACAATAAATAATGCTTTGAGTGTACAATACTTATTTATTAGTACTAATTTATTTGCTTATCATTTGTAATAATAGTCTGAGTATGATATTCAAAGAATATTGTAAACTTATTGTTTAAATTTGCGATATTTTAATAAGTATTTAATCTCATTTACCAATTTTGTAGTCAAACAATTTTTGGTATAACTCTGGATATCAAATATTTATGATACTAAATAATTTCTAATTAAACTGGATATTCAAACAAAGTAAATTTACTGAATTGTTACTACAATAATGAAAATGTGTTGAATTTGTATGACTACTGCAAAAATAACTAACGAGTTTCAAAAATAATATCTTAAGGAGTGCTGAATATTGAGTCCAGTTTTGATGACTTTAGTGATTCGGTGCTCAGAATATTTACAAAATATTAGTTTTAACACTTATTTTGTTACATAGTACACATAATAACTGTTTCTCAAATAAAAACAATTGCACAACATTTGCAAATAATAAAGATTTGTTATCAAACATTAAAATTATAAAAATAATATAGTATTGTATAACTTGAAAAGAGATCATTTAAAATGATTTATACATTTGCACCAAATATTGACCCCTTTTAGTAAAACAATAATTCTTTAGCAGTTTTGACATATCATTAGATCCACAATCGATTTGGTATTTTATAACACTGTGTAAACCAAACCATTAGAAAAGGTACGACACACCTGACATTAACTATTTATATAATACAGCCAATTTTAAATTATACAATTAATGAAATGTTATATGAGTTATTATAAACGTAAGGCAAAAATCAAAATGAGTGTCGAATACCTTAAAATATAAAACTGCAAAAGAATTATATATGAAATTAATTTAATTAACAAATGGCACTGAAATATAGATTGAGAAATACGGCATTAGTATCTGCGTCTGTGTTCAAGCGTTGGACTCTTTAAGACTATCGAAATACTCCATCAATTGATTGTAATCTAAATTATTTTTGTTTTCATTCACATTGTTGTATCTCTTGGGTCTATGAGGAGGCAGTTCTACCCTTAGATTCTCTGCAATTACTGGCGGATTACTCCACCGCTTTGCTGATCCTATGTCTCGATGGGGTGGCACTGGTGGAGGTCTGGCTCTAACGGATACCCCTCTCATCTCATTTAGATTCCTTTGGTTACGGTGTGGAGGAATGGGCGGTGGCTTTGAATAAGTTGTAAATTTGTTTTCAATGGTTTTGGATTTGCGTTCCGGAATCGGTGGCGCTCCTGATGGCAAATGTCTTGTTGTGATTGGTTTAGACGAAGTCCTATTTGATATCAACGGTTGAGGAGTTTTTTGGTCCACTTCGTCAACACCGTCGGTATCCTCGACGAGGTTTGGATTTGTGGTAATCCTTATACTGATCTCAGAACCAGGATATGAAATAGCACTCAAACGATTGGCTGAAATATAGTTATGCAATCAATTATACGAAACTCATTTGTGATGGAATTTGAATCAAACTTACAAACAGTCTCTGAAATTCGGTGATTGCCGTCATTTTCCTCGACATTTCCGTTGAAGTCTTTCTGAATCATTGTATGCCTTTGAGTGCCGACCGAATTGCGCTCCAATGTCGCCCGTCCTAACCAAACCCATTCGTTAGCGTTGGCCACAATCGGTCTATTGCTTGAAGTGATGGGTGCGATACGGGTTGTGGTGACAGGTTCCGGAGGGTTCTTCACTCGACCGAACATTTTATACAATACGGCAACGATTATGATAGCGATGCCGAAAATGGCGAAAAAGCTATAAATGCCGACTTCTATGTTTGCCATATTTAGACTCGATTTACGAGTGCTTTGCTTTCCTATCACTACATATTCATTGGAATTCCCTTTTTCTTTGCTACTGAAGTACTGTAAGTCAGAGGTTGGGGTCTGACTACCATTCATGACATTAACATTATTTTTGCGATAATTGAAGGCATCGTTTTGAAGACTGGATGTCGTGAAGTCCACGTTTACATTGACGTACTTCAGAGCCAACGGTTGGGTCCGTTTTCGTTGGCAAGAATTGGACACTTCGAAGGACAGGTGCAGGAGTTGACCCCTTCCCGGGCCAATGGCTATGACACGCGGGTAGAGACCTGTATTGGGTGCCAAAGCTACCGCCCCGTCAAATGTGTCAATAGAGAGGTTATAATCAGTGGGCGCGACGTCCGAGAGATCGATATAAGTTTGGTCAGAGAAATGGAGTTTGACATCCAGCAATCCCTCCTGGTATTGAGTCGTCAACTTATCCAAGAGAGTGGTCTTAGCCGTCCATATATTGGTCAGGGGTGGGTATGGTTTGACCTGTAGTTCCAACCCAGTTACTACTTTGACATCCAAATGAGTGATTGTCTCCTTATCAGATGCGACTCGGATTTCTTTAGAGCCCATGAGTTGGCCAGTGATGGGTGAGATCACCTGCACCTCAGACCGACCCACACTCAGCCCTTCAATTATGTTGGCTCTAAGGGCCAGCACTTTGGGGTCCGTCACTCGGATGTAAGGCGTTAACAGATGAGTGATTCGTATGGAAATCCTACGATTCAAGAGCGATGCCTCTCTGCCCGAGTTGTGGTCAGTGCTGAAGAATTTAGTATAGAGTTCCACTTTTGTCTGTTGATACCGGAGCCGACAGGGTATGTAATTGTGATTATTATCCGAAAAATCATTTTTGGTGCCAGACTTGGCATCAAGTGCTTCATCACCACTTGGCTGAAGTAACTCATCGTCGATGACATACGAACTGTGTTTGCGTTTTAACTGAGTTTTCCAACTCTTAATTTGACTCAATTTGTTGTCATCTACTCTGATATCAATCGGCAGTTCCGGTCTCCAGACGACGAAATTCTTCTGATAGGAGGCGCCGCCGTATTTGATGAGAATTGTGGCGTTTTGGTCGCCTCTCACTTCACTTCCGTCCAAATAGACTGATGTACACGAAGGCGACACTTTCAAAATGGATTCGTCTGCCGCATGACATGAAGACTGAAGGGTTATATCACTGATACGTCCCGCTGATGACACCATATATATGCGCATCGCCTGCGAGACCTGTCTTCCTGTCAGAAGAGCTGTGTTTAAGAGTTGTCGCGATTTAGTGACGGCCAACACATCTAATACATTGTCTTTTTGAATGTCAAGACGTGAAGAGAGTTTTGCCGACTCCTTATCGAAGTCTTGTTTGACAGCAATAGAGCTCTCCGTCACATACAAGAGCTGCCAAACAATTCTTCCGCCGTCACTGATATCCACATCTTCGTCAATCTCTATAAGCCATGAATAGACCTCTTGTGATGGGGTATCCAATAGTTCTTCGGGAACTGAATCACTGTCCTGTTGGACATCGAAATCACGCAAAAATGCTGTCACAGTAGCTGTGGTTTGTTTAGGACTGACTTCAGTACTCAATTGCCATAACCTATTCGGATGAGACAGTTGTGCCCCAAGTATACGGACACCGCTTTTGACCCGAACTCTCAAACTGAACGCTGCGATCGGATACTCGGGATTGTATGTGAATTTGACCGGAATATAAATCTTAGAATTTGGATAAACCGGCTCTTGAGGTATCATAATTGTGACCACATTATCATTAGTAACCTCTTCATAGCTGCCACGGAATGGAACTAATGATACATCGGATAAGAAATTGAGAGCCAATGGGTTTGAATCAGATGTAGTGATAAACGAAGACTCGGAGCAGTGCTCGCTATGAGTGACCGCATAATAGACCTTAACGTTAGAAGTTTTCGGCTCCTTCTGTGACAAACCATTTGTGTCTATCGGTGGCCAATAGGCAGAAGGGATGGTCACCTCTGCCAGACACGCGCCTTCCCTTGTCTTACTAGGGCTACAGGTGCCGAATATTCTCTCTTTATGGTACTGAACCACAATAGCGGCGCAAAGGGTTTTGTCAATGAAATCGGTGCGAGTCCTATGCGTATAGTCTGAATGGTGAGCGGCATAGAAGAGCACCCGTAGCACAGGATTGCTGCGATGAACTTCTCTGGTGACTAAGTGTGCGGATAGCTCTCCATTAAGTGCCGGCGCTTTGAGCTGAGAATTGGCGTCAATGAGATTCACGAGGTGTGAGTCATTGCGCTTAAGACTTAGGGATGTGTCGGTCCAATAGGAGGGGAATACCGTCTGTCTGACAGTTAAGGGCCCGTAATTAGCTCTCACGGAGACTGAACTCAACGGATGAACTAAAGCGAAATACCTGTCAATGGATTAAACGTTGAAATAAACACTCATTTCTCAAATATGGTTCACATTTCAATGAATTTGGAGCAAAGAATTTAAAGCATTTATTAATATAAATATTTGTCGATATTTTATTTTATTGAAAACTTTGAGCACTAAAATGATATATTGGCTCATTAATTATACTTGATTCGTTAAGCCTCTCTACCATTTTTCTTGTTTTAAGTAAATATTTTTCTTGAAATTTATTATAAATATGATACCAGAATAGTTTCGATATCTACTAATAATACTTTTTAAATTTTATAATTTAGATGCTAGCATAGAAAATTACAGAATATAATGGAATATTAATTAAATTATATTTTTATTCGCAGTATTTCGCAGTATTCCTATACTTTTAGTTGCAGGTACCACCAGTATTTTCCGAAACCCAAATATGACTATGATTTTCGGGTGTATCATCGAGAAGTAGAATAAGAAGAGGGGATAAGCGAACTCGATTGAATCACTCCTTGAGGGTCAAAATGACCGAAAACCGAAATATTTTAAATAATTCATATTTCCCGAACGGGATAAGGTAGAGATATGCGGTAAAGCCTATAATGTGTATAAGATCGGGATCTATGGACACTGTGACCGGCACTTTGACCTGACCTCGGAGAGTGACCCCCAATCGGGCAAAACCGACAATTTTTAATTTCCCGAAAATGAAATTGGCCATAACTCGGCCAAATGGACACTTAGAATTCAACATTTTCATGTTATCTTCGAAAGGTACAGTATGTTATTTATTAATGGATAACAATTAAAGGTTACATACAGTATATCAAATTGGTTTCCATCATATACAGGAGATATAGTATAAGTAATTTAATTCGCAGTATTTCGCAGTATTCCAATACTTTTAGTTGCAGGCACCACCAGTATTCTTTACTGCCCAAAAGTTATTATCATATTCGTGTGTATCGTCAAAAAGTAGAATAGGAAGGGAATAGTAAGAAAAAATTTTATGTTGGAATTTCGCCGCTAGATGGCGATAACTGTCAAAATCTAATTAATTCATAGCTCCCGAACGGGATAAGGTAGAGATATGCGGTAAAGTCTATAATGTGTATAAGATCGGGCAGATACCTGTGACACTGGCCGTGAAACTGGACTGGAGCCTCTCACTGGGGGTTAGCCCGTTTTGGCTGTTAAAAATTAAAGGGCTTTTACTTTAACCGGTATTGAGCCGGTTTACCTGTGAATCTTAGTTCTTACTTCTGGTAGGTCTGAAGGACCGCGAAGCGGTCCTGATGGACCCGGACCTGATTTTTTCGGATATAAGGGGGCGCCACAATCGAATTTCAAAAATATCGATTTTTTCGACTCTATTTTGAAATGGTCATATCTCGGGAACTACAAGACCTAGGGTGACCAGACTCGGGTCAGCTATTACCCCCGACATAAGTGAGAGTATAGGAATACTGCGCGCGTCACCCAAACTAGTT